CATGTGATCAAAGTGAAGAACATCAATTCCATGGTGCTGCTGGTTGGCTGACAGTCCCAATGCACTTCTTTGCTTTTAGCGTGCTGTTAGGATTATAATTTGTGTCTCTTGGATTAACAGAGATATGGATTATATTACCTGGTTTTAAATAAAGTAATGCTTACAAAATGAACAAGTGGCTAAAAGAAGACTGTACAGAAACCACAGATTGAAAATAATATTAATGATATAAGCACAAGGTAACGAAAAGAAAGCAGCAGAGTTAATACTACTAGTCTGTAGCAATTTGAGATAAAATACAATGACATTATCATATGTGGTGAGAAGTAAGCCAAAAATGGAAATTATTAAGGAGACATCTGGAATACATATATATTTGCCTATATATTTGTTAAAGATGACTCTGGTCCTAAATATGTATCCCATCTTAAAATCTTGCCTAGTGAAAATATAAAGCCATAAATATTAATTTCACATTAAAATATTTATTTTGTCTTTATCTTCAAAATTTTATGTCTTTAATATAATATATAAATGCAGTAGTGCATATGTATGCTTTATCTAAAAATACACATACTACAGTTGCATGTTGCATGCTAAAATATTTTCTTAATGAGAGAAGCACTTGTCTAAGTAAGCAGTTAGTGTCTCTGACTCAGGTGGTAGCAGTGGAGATGGAGACGATTGAGTGTCTTCATGTCTTTGAGTAAAATGGGCAAAGAAGAACCGGTGGAACTTTGTGATTAATTAAATAAAATGGGAAGAGTGAGACATTGGGTTAAGGTTAACTGCTACATTTGCAGTCAAACCAGGTAGAGGGTGGGACCATTTTTTGAGACTTAGATTTGAGAGGCAAGAACTCAGTTCAGTTTTAGACATAGTAAGTTTGTAGTACCAGTGAATTATCCAAGTGGTCAAATACTCCACTGTCGATATCAGAAGGGGGACTGGATCAGAAATATTACTTGCTACTAGTGATCTCCATATATGTGGTAACAAAAGGCATGGCTATGATTAAGATCACCAGGGGAGAAAACACCTAGTGAATGGAGAAGAAGCCCAAGGATTGGGCACTGAAATGCAGACTTAGGATGGAGGAAAAGCCTATACTGTACCAGCAAACAAAGGGGAATAAAAGGCCAGAGAATTAGAAGGAAAACACGGAGAGTAGGTCATTATGGAAACTGAAGGAATGACAGAGGAAAGTGGTCAGGCATGTCCAATGATGCCAAGAATTCATGTTAAATGAGGGCTCAGAAGTGCCAGGAGTAAGCAACGTGCAGATTATCCATAACATTTTAGAGAGCTGTTTGGAGAGTTAAGAAGTCCAAGACAGAAGTCTGATGTGAATGGTCTTTTTTTTTTCCCCCACTTATTTATTTTATTGCATTTTAGGTTTTGG